GATCAGAGGGAAGCTTCGATGCAGGAATAACAGCGTTGTCTCGGACCTCATTTAACAGATTGTAGGCCAGAACAAAAACCACTGATCCAGTCATCACTGGTTAGTCATACAGTAGTAGTGAAGGGCTAAAGGTGTCTGATTTAAGTGACTGGATGTATGCTGTTTGATACTGAATAGCTAAAATGTCTTCTTCCTGTCGCATACTTCATTTTGAAAAGAAAACATTGTTAATGCCATATTGACATTTAAATTTTCAAATGAAATGTTTCAGTATTTATTGAGACTTGATTTATGGCAGAAAATCTTGGTGGAAGGGACCCTTTCGTTTGTTGATGTGAAAAGCTAAACTTAAGGTTACTGTATCACGTTGGATCATTACTACTGCATTTATTGTTGGAGCTCCCTGCGGTGTGTGTGTTTATCTTTGGATGGTGGGTCAGCTGTGCTACGTAGATGTTACATCAAATTAAGGATGACTGAATTCTACTTAGGTGGTTGAGTTAGTTCACTTAGCATGTTAGCAGGTCCAAGTTCTGTAACTCTCAGCTTCTCCTGCAAAGATCTCAAACTGTATTATTTTTAGCAACCAAACCTTGTTTTCCTTTTACATTTTGTTAAACTCTCTTCATGTCTAGCTGTGACCTTTCAAACAAAACTGAACTCAAAAAACAAATTTGTTTAGATATTTACAAGAGGTCAGTTAATACTTTGTAATTAAATAGAAAAGTACTTCATGTAGAAGCAAGCCGGCTTCGAGGCAGAAAATACAAGAAGTAAATGGGGCAGAGTTGTGTAGCTCTTCAGTGTTTTTAAGCATAGTTACCTCATTACCAAAACATATATCATTTTATGTTAATTTCAATACTTAGACCATTCCTTTTAGTTGCTCATAGCACTATCCTCATTATGCCTTTGGTTTCAGATAACCTTTTTAACTGTTATCTAAAGGATGATGATCATGGCCTGGCAAATGAATCTATGCACTTATTTTGCATACTTCTATCTTTCCCTTGGACTGTAATGTATATGTATTAACTTTTTGGGATTACTGAATCGAGAGACATTTTGTTAAGTTTACAGAATCCAGCTGCTGTATCTCAGCTGTGAGGTATTTTACCCAGGGCAGGCCCTTATCTATACCTGTGTTATTATGAGGAACATGGAAACTGGTTGTGAGGAACTCAGGAGGAAAACCAGCCCTTCTATTTATTCTTAGAGATAATGGCTGAATTATTCATCCTGTGTGATGATTAATTAAAATAGGCCCCGGGTCCTGTAGCAGGTACAGCCTGCCGTGGAGTACACTGACATTCCCATGTGATGTGCTGGATGTCTCTGCCTCCTTCTGCTCTCTCCTGCATTTCTTCAGGGACAGTGCCCTCTCACACGCTACATGCCTCTGCAGCTCACACTTTAACCCACTTCACAAATACATCGGGTGGAGACTTAGGACTCAGTAATTATAAGTGTGTACATGCAGACAAGGGATCAAGTTCAAGTTGTTTTATGTCTTCCTTTGTCTCATTTGGAGTCTATAATGTTTTGCCATGATGGTGGGTCTAAAGGACACGTCAGTCTACAGTCCAAGCTTTGTAGCCACCTCCTATTGCAAAAAAGTGAAACCAAACTACTGCCCAGCTGGGTTGGAGCAGGTTTTTGGGTTACTCATGCTTCGATGAATTTAAGTGTTTTTTGATTTAGTGTTCTTTATTTTATTCTTTCTCTGCTCTTGATCTTCTCTGTTAATTTAGAGAATGCTGAAGAGCCCACATTTGTCAACAGAGCTGTCAGTCATAATTACCTCCTCTCTTTTAAGGCCAAACAACCAATCAAAACTAAACATCTCTGAAAAACAAATGGGCATAAATCAGCATAATTAGACTGGACTGCTATAACAGAGAAAAACATACAAACAAACAAACAAACAAAATTTACTTGATTAATCTTTTAGCTTTGCATATGTCCCATCGATAAACATGAAGGAGGTGGGCCAGTCACTAAGAATAAGCACTAAAGCCTTTGAAATCTTGGTCAGTAATCTTTCAGATTCTCGAAGTAAATATCTAAACATTTTGAAAAATCATAAATACTGGGTCAACCCGGTTGGTAAATGGAAAAGTTTGCACACTTAAATCCACAAATAGATTAAATAAAAATTTAGGATGCACATTTTTCTGTTGATGACTGGTACTGGCATTGGCATATATTGGCCCTGTTGACTGCAACCAGCATATTGCCAAAAATTGTGTCAGCTAAACTGAAACTGGACTTGCAAATGTTTTAATACATCGACTCTCACAAGTAGCTCCTGGTTGGCTAGGAGCTACTTCTCTCTAGGAACTCGAGTAGCTTATCTTAACTGATAGTAAGCCTGAGCCCTCATGGCAGCATCCGGGGGTTGATTTCTTTCTGGCTACTTTTTCTGCATGCCACTGCTTATTTCTCTCTCACCCACCCGTCTTGATCCCACCTTTGCTTTCACTGTCATACAAAGACAAAAATGCCCCAAAAAACATGCTTATAAAAAAAGCATTATCTCGGAGCTGCAAGGAGACATGGGAGGTGACGGGACATCATAAGGACACAAGGAAGTAGCCTAAAATCTAGAGGGTGTAGAGAGTGGTTACTTGTCGCTACATAAAGCAGGAGCTGCCTCTGTTTTCTGTGAGTACTGTTCAGAGCTGTTAGTGTGAGACAGCTCTGCCACACAACTGTTAGAAACATTATTTTGGTCGGTTTCCCCTCCACAGTGATGCATGCTGTCTCACTGTAACCAGCTGCTAGTTGCCGCCAGACTCAGGTAGACAGCGGCTGTTGCGTCCTCTGACCCAGTGTGGGCAGCTGGCAGTGGGCAGGACATGCCCTGTGGCAGTGCCAGGGGAAGGCCAGGAGGGCTGGGGTCCAGACCTGCTCTTGCCTCTGCTCAAGTCCCGCTAATGGAACGGGGCTGGGCTGCCCATATGGCACTTGTGAGAAGAACAGGGGGCTCTGGAGGTTGGTACGGGGGATCACCAGGCAGTCTCCCGTTAGAAATTAAACAGGACAAGGCCAGACCTTCGTGATCAGCCCACGACCACCAAGCATTATAGATGTGCTCACTGATGGAGATGGAGGCACACCTGCACCGGAGGCTTCTAACTGCCCTTTAAACCACCGGACACTCAAGTCTGCATGCGATAGCTCTTTTTAAGCTATTTAGGGTCTTCTGGACATAACAGTGAGCATCTAAAGGTGATGAAAATCCTCAATCTAACTTTGAAATTATGTTTTTCAGTTTATGTTAATTTTCCTGATTCTGGATTTGTAAGGGTTGGTTAAGCAACATATTTGTTATGAATATATCAAATAATGAATTCCAATATTCCATCAAAGTCATTGTCTTGCAGTTTCTATTTAGCTGTTTGACTCAACCTTAGAAACACCTGCAGGCCATGTATTAATAACCACAGGTGAGTGCAGGTGTTGGGTTTTGACTCAGTTATCGGACAAAGAAACATGTTTACACGTGCTAAATTTGTTGTTTTAATTCATAAGATTTTGAAAACGTTTGCTGTGATCAGAAAGCTAAGGAGACTAAAGTGTAGGAAGAGGAGAGTTGGATAGACGCACCAGAGGCCAAAGGGCCCTGGCCTGGGTTGAGCAGGCCATGAACAGAACGTTAAGACAGTAACTCAGCATTAGCAACTGTGTGGCAAAAATGTCCTGGTGGCGGAAGGAAGAGAGCTGGCAATGAGCTATGGCTGAAAATGTGCAAGTGGATACACACCATGCAGACATGGCATCTCAGGATGTCCTGTGAGAGAATCATGTTGGAAGCAAAAGGATTCTATGCTAAGGTGAGTTACATGAGGGGCAAGGACAAATTTACCACAATTGGTGCCTTGATAGAGTTCCCTTCGGCAACCACTTTTCTGTTGGAAGATGCTCAACCACAGAGACACCCAGCTCTTTATAGCAATAGGATTATTATTATTATTTTTTTTCAGTTTGGGCTGTGGAAGACTTCATAAGAAAATAACTGAAGGCCTGTCTCTTATTAACACCTGTTCTGAAGAGAGGCATGAATGACTTTTTTTCTGCACTTGCAGTCAGTACTCTGAGAAGGCCTCACTTTTGCTTCTGTGGAGAAAGTCAACAAAATACAGTCCAGGTTGATGAGCCAAAAACTTCGAGATTGTCCTCTATTTGGAGGTCAAGGAAATATCAGTTTGCCAGGATGTACGTGGTGTTAGCCCAATGTTCAGGTGCTGACCACAGAGGCTGTGTGTAGCCAATGAGGTGGACAGGGGGAGAGCTCATAGCCCACCAGCCCTCTCTGGCACCAGACCGACCTGGCTCCTCTCTTAGCTGCGTGGGACCAGGAGAAGGAGAGCCACATGGGATGGGAGGAGAGATGGGAGTGTTGGAGCTGCAGCACTGCAGTGTTAACAAATGTGCTCACATACTGTACTGAGATAATGCTTACCCTCTAGATTTACTCTGCGCTCTCTGCTGACTGTACCACACAAGCTGATGCAAACGCAACTAAAATTACCACTTCAGGGTGACACCGGTGATTTGTACTGTGGACTAAAAAAAAGGAGAAAGAGTCAGGGTAATTGCAGTCTACAGAGGCATGCAGTTTGACGTCGCATCGTCCTGGTTTTCTTCGTAATACTCCATTAGAAAGTGAGGCCAGACTTTTAAAACAGGTCACTCCTGCTTGCCCTCCCTCCCATCTTGATTTCTTCCTCCACCATGTCTGCATCCTCCTCCTTCTTCTCCCACCACCCACCTCTCTGGATCTGGAACAAAAGCCACCTCCACCACCTCCCCTCCCCATCTCCTGCTTTTCCATTTTATTGGTGACAGCTGCCGCGAAACAAACTCGCGGAGCGAGAGAAATGATGTGTCAGTGGAAGGTCCTTTAGCCCGCGCTGCTAATCTGTCACACGCCGTTTGTTGTTTACTGTTTCCTCCTGCTCACCGACTGGCCGGCAGCGTGCGCCGCACAGTAATGGCGACAGATGCTGACCCGCAGAAGTGTGAATCTTGCCGATTTCTCCCTGCTGTCAACCTGTAAATTACAGCTATCGGGAGTAATTAGACCCGATAAAACCCTTCCAAGCCTCACCCCCCTTGACACACATGCAGACACACACACAGATCTGGCCTGTCAGTGACCTGAGCATGCGCCAGTTTCTAAAAGAAGGTTTAAGGCCCAAAATTGTCCTGTTCAAACCAGGTGTTTAATGTGTTTCTCTTCACAGAAAAATATTCTGCTCTTTCATCCCGTAAAATATCGCTCATCTTTGCTGGTTTAAGCATTTCATCTCTCTTTTAGGTCAAAGTCTGACATCCAAACACTTCATGACTTTGAGGACTCTGAGATCGATGCTGGCAGCTCCTCTAAAGTTGCAGAGGTGAGTCGGTCCACAGTAAACTATCTTGGATGAATCTGCAGACGCTGCCAGTCGTCCTCTACTTATCCTCACTGAGGTTTTGCAGTGACAGCGGAGAGCTGTCGCTGTGACCAGAGATGTCAGCATCTGGGGCCACCTCTTCATGCCCTGGCATCCGTGTTCGGCCTACAACCACCACAGTGATGGCCACTGCCAAGCATGCTCTTAAAAGCAAGGCCCGTGCCCCTTTAAGTAACTTACGCGAAACCAAAGGTCACGCAGCCAGGTCTTGTCATCCTCTCCCTGACTCTCTGCCCTCCGCCTCCACCTCCTTCCCCAGCCCTCAGTGCCCACTTCCTGGCCATTGGAGCCAATCACTTTCCACCCCTTGCCTCCTTCGCCGCCAATGCCGAGCGGCAATCTGTCACCCGGGCACTAGGAGATGCCACCCTGCCGGCCGCCTTCCGTACACTGTGGTAATGGCTTCTGGCAGCCCTAGACAGATAAGTAACAGGCAAAAAGGCAGGAGAGCGGGTCGAGTAGAGAGGGAGGGCTGAGGGCCAGAGAGCAGAGGACCCTCTCTCACATCCAAGCTGCCCCCTTCTCGCCGCTGCTCGACCCTCCTCTACCCCTTTTGCCTCACCCCGCTTTGGCCTGGTCGCTTTGCACGATACTTCAGTGAATAAATGAGTCGTTTTAATCCGACTGACAAGCTGGCATTGCCCAGCCCTGCCCTCCATCTGTACTGGCGGCCAGCGCAGCAGCAGGCCCCAGGCAGCCCGATGTGCCAATCCAACACACAGCTTATCCTGGCTGTAGCTTCAGGGACAGAAGGGTTAGAGCTCTATGCGGCAGCTACCCTCTCCACCAAAAGAGCTATTTATATAAGAAAGGGATTAGCCGGTGGAGGCTTTGATGAAGCGGAAAAAAATTATGATTTTGCTTCCATCTTGCTCCAGTGCACTTTTGAGATGCACGTATATTCAAACAGGAAGTTCACTTTACTTTTGCTTTTCCAAACCTTCAAATGATCATGGGGGGTGTCATTTTTCACTCCAATTCAAAGCTAGGGTTCATTTTTAAGAGATGAGATTTTTTTATGAGATGGCGTTTGCTCCATGGTTGCTCTGCCACTGCAACAGATGAATGTGTTCACTCTGCCATAAACACAAAAGTGAAAGTGAAACTAGCCTCTTTCCATCTGTCCCCACCACCGAGGGGTTAATTTTGCTCTGTCATCTTTGGAACAGCGAGAAGCCAAGTGCACTATCACTCACACAGTCCGCCGTCCTGACCGAATAAACCCAGAGGGAGAGAAAAAACTTGGCCGCAGGAGGTGCTAAACCCTCTGCTCCATTTCCTCTCTCCACAAGCCTTCTCTCCGCTCCCTCTCTTGGCCATGTGTCACCTCCAAGTCGTTTGGGAAGGGACCTGGTAACATTTGAGTGCCCAATTAAGCGCAGGGGCTCAGTCCGGGCCCCCCTCTGGGTTCCGTTCAGGCACGTCACTGATGAGCGGGCTGCCATCTTCCCTGTGAACCACACACACACTCACACATATGCACGATTCTCCCACCCGCTTATTCCTTTTCATGCCTACTTCCCCCGTCTGTTGTGCCTCTTTTTCGCACAAACACTTTCTCCTCTCTGCTTAAAGATCCCCTGCAGATCTGATTGCAGCTTACCTTTGGAACAGGAGGTTATAACTGTTTGATCCATGGCCGCCAGACCCTTTGCCAGTCATACACCCGGGCCTGGATGCTGCTTATTAACGGGAGGGGTCCTCCCACTGTGCTGCTGAGAATCCGAGGGATGGGTGTTTTGCTGCTTTGGTGAAAGATTAAGCACTGTTTTCTTAAATTAGCCTGGAAAACATGAAGCATAAACATAAAAGGAAATATTCCTTATCTGCAAGGTCAACTATGCGCTCATTATCACCCAGATTGAATAATTACTGAACTTAAGAAGTGCGAAAAAAAAATAAAACAACTCTGAGTTAGCGCAGTGGAGCCTTTTGAAGTGTTAAAGGAGTGCTTATTCCCTTAACTGGAGTGAAAGAGCAATGCTGGATAATTTAGGTTACGGGCTCGGCAGTGACAGCTGGGCAGCATTGAACGCCAACCAAATCGACATAAATCACTGACTTTTTTTTCAATAAGTAGGTTAATATCTCAGAATTGTGTTTAATGTTTTATGCAGCAGAAAGGCAGGGACAGTGTTAAGGGACGGCAAGTGATTCTGAATGCAGCCGGGAGGTGGAGGGCTGGGCAGGGTTTGGCATCTCCCGACAGTCTCTTCCGAGCACGCCGGCCCTTTAAAGGAGCGCGGAAACAATCGACGCCCCTCTCGAGTCCTCTTCATATTAAACAAGTGCTTTGTAAGTGTGCCATCATTACTATTCATCACCAATAAATACTTAAGCACTGAGAGCTTAGTACCCCGCTGCTTTACAGTTATTCATTATTTCTGTCACCTGCTTGTCCTTTTTCTGTCTCCTCCCCTCGCCGCAGCTCATGACTGAATGTTCCGGTGCCCTTCAACTCAGTAGTGTGCTGGGAGTGAGCTGGTGGCTAGTGCCTGTGTGCCAAGCCTCCTGCTTTGTGTCCCATATTCTCTGCCCTCACCTGAGGCCTTGTAACAACAGGACAGCAGGGCCAGAGGCTTTACCGTGCTCTGTGAACTTCTCAAGATGATGCCCTTCTACAGTTTTCAAAATGTCCCATGTCCACAACCTTCTTTCTTCTTTTTATTACATGAACACAACTGCACAATCACCCCCAAGTTCAAACACACTAAGTACTCTCCTGCCCCAGACACTGGGGCAGAAGTCCACTGCACCCGTCCTCTACGGCTAGTTTTTGGAAGGTGATTCGATCCTTTTTCCTCTGCCACAGTGCTTGGCGGGCTGGCTGGCTCCAATGCAACGCGGCGTGCGCTGGCGTTGGACTGAGGCCGGGCCAGTGTGCTCGGGAGCTGATGAATTGTGAGCGAGATGCGGGGCGGCAGCCAGCGAGGAGCTCCGATGAGCGGCCGTCACGCACTATCACCGTCTGCTGGTGTGATGAGGGAAATCGGAGAGACAGCGCTGACAACTTAATTTAACACCAGATCTGGAGGAAGCCAGAGTGCTACAGCGCTCTGGATAATTGATAACTCTGCCACTCCACCACACCTTGCCTCACCTCGTGCCCACCACGCCTCAGCTCTGCATCAACCTGAACCAGTGGTGGACGCTTTACTGTACAGGTCTTAAGGCTTGTCAGGTTGTTTTGCTCTGGTTAAATGGCTTTTAACTCCAAGTGTGAAACTGAAAACTAAATCTCAAGTGGGGTGTTAATTTGTTTTCTGTCTCTGATACAACTTTAAAATGGTTCATCTATTTTTGATGCTGGGACAATACTAGTGCATTTCAGTACAAAAATGTGTGTAAATTCTTTTATACACAACCTCTTTTCTTTAAACAAAAACATAGACAAATCTAACCCATCTAAAATTGTGCAAATAATGATTTAAACCACGGTAAAGGTGATCAAAATTAAGTATGTGATAATTTTGTTGTTAGAGTAAATAGGTTAAGTCCTGAAAAGGTAAAGAGGAGATAAAGAGGTCCCAACTTTCTCTCCTTTTATAAGCTTCTTATTGCATCCAGAAGAATGACACAGAGCGGCTGCAATGCTGAAATTTCTCCTTGGGCCTCGATGCTGCAGCACGGCGCTGCAGGGGGACAGCGCTGCCTGGATCTCCTTCACAGGCTGCTGGAGGCTGCAGAGCACAAGCCCGGTTGACTGGTAATGCCTATTAATTACTAATACAAACTGCTAATTAGTAGACCAAACACTGGCATCTGTACAGTTTGTTTTCCCTGCAGCGATGATATTGAGATCTAACACAAAGAGGCAGTGAAACCTGAGCGACATGATGCACACCAGAATCAAAGGGGACTCGCTGATGAGCATGCTTTAAGCCAGGATCAGGAACCAGAAAGGTCGAGCCAAATTTCAGAGCCATGTGACTTGACCGTTACTTTTGTACAGCTTTGGTATTCAGGTTTTATTTTGCAGATCCAAGTTTGACAAACAAATGGAAACAGTTGGAATAAATGTATTTTAAAATATTGCAACCTTCCTTAATTTTAAATTCCGTATGCAAATGTCAAATTTCAGTGTCCAAAAAAGAGCGTCCAAACACTCCTTCACTTGCTGGTAAATATTCGCTCGACTTGGTTCTTTTTGCTGGTTTGCTTGTAAATTAAAGCCAAAACATTATCATATCCCGTGCAGTATGTAGAAATGTAACATCTGCTCATCTAAGCAGTCTGGCGTCCAACTCATGCAAGCACTATATGCTAGCTCTGCTAATGTATGGGCTAAAACCAATAAATCACAAGATTTTTTTATGTTCATGACAAAGACTCAATTTCATAATAAAACAAACAAGACCATCAGAGACAAGACCAAGACTGTTTTTATACAAAAAAATTAATGTGTAAAACCACTGTGAGAAGGTTGCAGCTGTGGAAACCGCATTGTTTATTTTTTTTCAACAATTTCCCCAGGTTAATGACAATAAATTATGTTTTTGACTTGTCAAGTGTCAGAATGCATTTCCTTCCTTTTTTTTTTTTTTTGGACAAAATAAGCCAGCACTGCTTTGTCCACAGGGGGCACAAAGTTGACACAGACTTGAAGTTTTAAATAAAAGTGCTCATGGACAGAGGTGTGTAATAACGAGTTATATTTACTTGAGTAGTTTTTTTTTTATCATTAATAAATTGTATTTTGTGAGTAACTTAATGCACAATACTTTTTACTTTTACTACAGTATCTTTGTGAAAGGGAAACGCAACTCTTACTCTGCAATATTGCACTTCTCTGCTCATAACTTCTCTTTTTATCCAAGCAATAACATTTTTTTTTTATTATTATTATTTTGCTAGAGACACTTCCGTAAACGAGTATATCACATGACTTATGTCACCAATCAGAGGTAGTCATTCGGTCACATGACAGGAAAAGTTTGTAGCGGCCGGGCGCGAATCTTTTGCGCGCCCAGCCGCCTGTTGGAGAGTCCACGAAAAATGGCGGAGGCTACAGCGGTGTGCGCCACAACGGCGCGCGTTTCTGCTTCGGAGGAGGAGGAGGTGGAGGAGGAGGAACACCCGTGGTCTTACAAACGAAGCATGTTTAGCCTACACGCGTCGCAAGAGAACAGCGACGCTATGCGGTGTCTTCTCTGTCTGCCGAAGCAAACCAACATGGCTGCGTTCAAGAACTCACGTCCAACTTAAGGAAACACGGAGCGGTAAGTTTTACCTACGTTAGTTTTGGCTGTGGAGTCAGGCAGGTTAGCCTTGTTATCTCTGCAGGATCCTAGTCCTGAAAATAATTCTTTATTTGATTGTCAATATTTTAGAATAATCTGACAAACTGTATGAACAACTGCACTTCAGGTACCTGTGGGGCCTTATAAGTATGAAGGGAGAGTGGGTAAGATGAGACAGTTTTTGCTTTTGTTGTCACTGAGGAAAGGAAAAATGCAACAGAGGTAAAATGAAAATCTGATTGAATTCATGCATACAAGACAAGTCAGTCAGATATTGCAGTTACTCCCTGCTTGAGTAGTTTTATCACCAAGTACTTTTTTACTCTTACTCAAGTAATTTTGTAGATGACTATTTTTACTTCTATTTGAGTCATACTTTTTTTAAAGTAACATTATTCTTAATTGAGTACAAATTTTGGTCTCTTCAGACTGTAATTTGTTGAAGAGTTGTGAACAAAGCACTACATTATGTTGAAAATTTAACATTTAAGCTGAATTGACCTGATAACAGTTAATTACAGAAGTGTGGCATCTCCACTTAGAAACCAACAACTTTGTTTTCCCTTAAATTAAATCTTTGATTTTTTTTTTCCTGAAATTAAATTTCCACATCTTTTTCTCTCATAATTGAATTTAATCTTTGTTGTAAAAATTTTGACTTTACTCACAACCTTCAGACTTTTTTCTCAGGGTCCATTTTCAACTAAAATCTTCATCCTCTCATGATTTTCCTCACCTTTGCCCTAAAAAGTCTTCCATATTTTTCCATCTCGTGTTTGATTGACATTTTAAATTTCTGACCTTCTTTTTAGAAAATAGAAAAATTTTGATTGTAGTTGATCACTTCAATCTGTCGTGCACAGATGGCAATAAAAGAAGAAATGATCTCAGCTGACGTCAAACTCCATATGAATCCTTTTTTTGTCTTCGTGTTGAAGCGTAACTCAGGCAAAGACTGTGTCATTTACACTGCAAATATTAAGGTCTTTAAAGCTATTAGGATTTCTCAAAATGCACAAATGATACCATGAGTAAGGTTTGGTATTGGGGGAAGTAGTGAAATATTTCTTGCATTATTCTTCCCTTGTATACTTGTCAGGATGCTGAAGTCACTGTTGAATTTGAACATGACCTGCTAGTACAGTATGTGGCGCCCAGGCCCCACCCAGCTCCTCACAGCCAAGAAAAGATGCCACCCCACCCCTGCCACCCTACGCTTCTCACACACAAAAAATAAATGAGTGATTGGCCACAAAGTGTCAGCCAGCCCTAATCCCCTTTTAATTTCCTTGTGGGGCCTGCGCCAGCGCTCTGGCTGCAGCGTGAAGCTGGCCGCTGATGGCAGGATGGCCGCGGTGACAGGCAGGCAGGCAGCGCAGGCCTGGGGGTGTTTACTGGGATCCCAGCAAAGAAAATACAATAACCACACACTGCCACCACTGTTTGCCTTACACTTGAGTGGGATTTAGGTTCCCCCAGCACTCTGTCACAAGTATGTGTGTGCTCACGTGCCCACACACCCACACAGGATTGCCATGCAACCAGATTGTACTATGGACATATGCATGCTCCTTTTCTCTCTGCATCCCTCATGAGAGTGCATACACACACATGAACACACACCTACATGCATATATTAAGCATGTGCTCCAACACTCAAGCACACCCCTGGTAATACTGCTCTAGATGAGGCTATTTATATCTTAATTTATACAGGTTGGTCTCAGCGTAGGGGTCGTCACCGCACAGCTGCCCAATCTCGGGCAATCCCACAATGCCAAGAGTATTATCTCCTTTTGAACAGCAATTTATTTTCCTTCCTACCCACTGTTATTCAAAAGTAAAGGTCCTGTCATTAAAATGTATGCTCACTTTATGCACAGGCACCAGGAAAGGCCAGCCGCTGAACTGCATTCACTCCCTGTTCACGTAATGAAAGGCGAAGAGGAAGAAGGAGGTGCGGGCTGCAGAGATGAAGTGCGTCTTTGTAACACATTTGCCCAAGAGGTGGGTTCAGCGTAACAAAATGGAGAAGGTTAACGTAATTCTGGCAGATGAAGGAATTTTTCATGACATTTACACACAGAAGGGATTTTTCACCCTCATAACACTCTATTGTGCGGCATATGAGCAGTGGTATATGTATCAAGTGTACAAAATATTAAAAGAGCCTCTTCTTTCAGAGAAACACATAAACACTCGTGATGATTTCACGCACCACATTTGAGCCAATTGTGCAGAAAAACCAACATATTGTAGCGTATCACACTAAATACCAAACATAAGTTAAATTATGTGTGAATTCTTAGTATTAGGATTATTGTAATTATATCTTCAGCTGGCACCGAAAGCTTTCCATCTTAATAACAAACAGTAAATTTATCCTTTTACAATATTCATTAAACATTTACTTTAGTTCACGAAGAGAATCAAAGCTCGAGAAGGAAGGATACAGGATATGATCTTTGTCTTTAAAAAGAAACGCAATCATACTCACTTCAGTATTTTTCAGCATTAATGGACATGACACGGAGCGTCTCATTGTTTTAAGATCAATTTTTGGCCTTTTTTGTGGTGAGAGAAAGGTGGAGGTTATGTGCACGAAATCATGTCGAGGCCGACTATCAATCCTACCACTGAAGCCTCTGTACTAAAATCTCTTGCTCTACCAACTGAGCCGAAGCGGCGCTCGAGAATTCCCCATTTAATGACAGGGTTGTTGTAGCATTATATGTTTAGATTATTTCATGGCAACTGCAGTTTTGTTTATATGTTGAGCAATCTTCAAAAACACGAGCAGCCGATTTACAGCCCACACTATATAACAAATAATTTGAAGGTCAAACACAGGTGGACCCAGAAGCCAGTACTAGTTGGGTGACGGGTACAGTGTGTGGAAATGGGATTTTTTTTTTTTTTTTCATTACATTATTTCATTTTTGGGGTTTTTGTGCCTTTATTTGAGCAGACAGGACAGGGGATATTGCAGAAAGAGAGAGTGGGGGCATGGCCAGCAGAGAAAGGAGCCACAGGCTTGAACCCGGGGCCATCCGCTCAGGGCATAACCTTTACATGTACGGCACACACTTTAACTGCCAGGCCAGTGGTGTTCCAAGAAATGGGAATGTTCACCGGTATCTTGAGGTCAGGCTCTACATCGAAAAGCTCCCTTGCTCACCTCTTCCAATAGTGAAGAAACGATGGCCTTTAAAGACAAGAAATCTAATCCTCCATTTGTCAAAAGACATATTTTGTGCACAACAGACTCTCTCTTCTTTGTTTTAATCAGTATATTTTCAGAGGCTGCTCACCACATACAAAGCTGCATATGACCCTGACTTGTTTGTCTATTCTGTACAGTAGAAACATGGCGGTGCAAGATGGCGCCCTGCCTAGAAGGGGGCCCAGTCCTGTGTGGATATAAAAGGCTCATTCTAGTTTCACAAAAACAACCAAAATGAATTTTTATACAGGGGATTATATATTAATGTTAAAACACACTTACAAATATGATATTCCATTTCTACCAACTTTGTTCGGCTAAATGTTGTTAAAGTCGTGGGAAGCTTTACTCATTTTATTATCCAGCTTTTGAAAGAAAATAATTCAGCTACAGTTTTTAAAATGAATAATTTCTCTGTAATAAAGACTTTTTGTCTCAACACAAATGAACCCTCCAGCTACTCAGCCGGGATAATTCGCTTAATTTTACTGATGATGAACATTACTTGTGATACATTAAACGATTAACTGATTAGTTGAGGAAAAATAGCAGATACATTTTTATTATTGAAACAGTTTTTAAGTTGCAGCTCTGAAGTCGTGCGTTCAGTTAAAGAGATGAATTACACTTTAATTCATACTTGTGTTTACTGTGTATCTGAAAGGGTGGGTGTGTAATGGAGGACGGACATTTTTGTTGAGGCGGTGTTGTGAATATAAAGTCTGTTTGCGGTGTGCATAAAATAAAATGCATTATTACTCCTTAAAAGTATTTCAAAATAATAAAAGGATAAACCTTAAGATGGGAGGTTTAAGGTCTCTGATTTCCCCAATTATTGGACTGATATTTAGACATACATCAGAAAGCCATTTTCAGCTCTCGGGGCTTCAATAACTATATTTATGAAACAACAGAGAAATCTAATGATAGTAAAAAAAAATTTAGATTCAGTTTGAAAGTGTCTCCTTTTTCCCCCACAAATGGATGTAAAAGCATCTGCTTTGTTGTTTTATTATGAATAAAGACTCTCTGAGGGGAAAAGAGCGTGCTCACCCCTGCTTTCTGTCTGTAAGGCTGTTTCTCACAGCAAAGGTCTTAATGGCAACATAAGGGGTTAGCCTAGATTTCCAGTCCAGTCTCATTTAAGGCTAATTCCTATGTGGGTCTGGATGTTTGATCCCATTGCCCATCTGAAGTAATTAAAGGGTTATTAGTAAACAGATATTCACGCTCGCTCACTCTTGCCAACTGTTTCATGCCATCTGCTGCCGGCACACGTGCTTTGACATTGGAAATATGCTGCTGAACCGACACGGGTGTTTCAACGCATAGGGAATGAACCAAGCTTTCATCAAGTCTAAACACAGTCAAACAGTGTCATCTTTGTGTGTGTGTGTCGGCATGAACGTGTGTGTACTGGAGAGCAAAATAAAAAAGGAAATGATAAAGTCACTTGTGCTATTTTAAACCGTCCTGTTAATTTAAATCTCTTTTAACTGGATCTACTTTTGATACCAGCCGACCATTTCCTATTCTCATATTTCGTCTCCACACCCCCTCTCTTCCCTCTTTTCTCTCTCTCTCTCTCTCTTTCTCTCTCTCACTCTCTCTCTCTCTCTCTCTCCCTCTCTCTCTCCCTCCCTCCTCTGGCTGCAGCTCTGCCCTCCTGTCTGTTTTTATCCTTTTTTTATTTTCAGTAATATAGAAGGGATTAACCCTGCTGGCCCCTCGGTGGTTACTGTTTCATTTTATTCTTATTAAAATCTTAAGAACCTGCTTTATTATTCCTGTTTGATACTACCTCAATAATCCTCTGCCTGCCTGCCCGCCTGCCTCTGTGTGTGTGTAAGTGTGTGTGTTTGTGTGGGTGTGTGTGGCATGCAGCCACAGACCCATAGGTGTGCTGTGTGATGGATGTGTGTGCCTGTGTTTGGGGCTAGCAGGAAGTCTAGGGCACATTACACACATTTTAATCACGGGGATGCAACATATAGGATGCACAAACACAATCTTATTCTTCCTCTGAAATCCTGGAGTTTATCTTTTAGCACATTTCAGACTTTAATATGTTGAGGAGGCGTCATAAAACGACATGTTGTACATTTCAACTCGACGTCTGCTGTGTTTCTCTTGTAATTCTCCACTTCTGACAAACATCCTGTTTCCCCCCTGTTCGTGTCGAGATGGCTATTACCGCTGATGGGTCTCAAGTGTTTGCTGTGATCTTTCTTACAGTCAGCCGCATTGATTTTGTGAAACCTCTGATAAATCTCAGACAGAAACTAGACAGGAGTGTTGTCACAGCAAAGCTTCCCTGGATCTCGCAGTGATTTCTGCCGCCGCTCCACTGACCTGAGTCGGTTTATTTAGAGAAGCAGAGCAGAGAGGCGCTGTATGGTGTCATCTGTCTCCGTTTTAATCTTATCGAATGTTAAATATTCAACATTTAACTTTCACTTAATGTCACTTAAGACAGCAGGAGGTTTCTATCAGTCTCAACACAGTCTAAATCCAAAAGAGCAGAGATGTAGTCAAAAGTGTTCATTAAAAACATACTTTAAACATTTGAATGTTTCGTTGAAAATATTACAAAGTCAGCAAATCAAATATTGAAAATTCGGATTGGTGTTATTGATGAAAATAAATCAATACATTTAAAAAAGAAATCAGACTGAATTGAACAGTTATAAATTTCTATGCTCCACAAAAGCAGATAAAACCATTTGTTATCATTGTAATGTCTGTTACTGCTGTGAGGGGTAGGTATGCTGGAAAAAATAGCCTTTGTTCCTTTTTCTACTGCAGGTATTCATGGGATAAATTTACAGTAAAAAGACAACAGCAGGGGGAGATTTGTCAATTTACACCACTTTCCAAGGATTAGATAAAATCAGCAACATTACAGGTTATCGCTTTGTCCATAATGGGCGCCAAAATCAACACAGAGGGTGCAGTGTCCAGTGTATGGTATAGTTTCCACCTGTATTTCTAGATGCAGCAATAAACTATGTTCACAGATGACTATAGGGCTGGGCGATATGGCAAATCAATATCATGATATATTGAGCAGTTCACCTCGATAACCAAAAATAGACGATAACTACTCCACAAGCTGCTCACCCTCTCCCACATTAACTTCGTCTACTTCAGCCGCCACTCCAGCCACTACAACTTTTGAACCGTCCTCCATCTCCTCACCTGTCTGTCCGTCTTTGTTATGGAGGATGGGGTGGAGTTACGTCTCTGATGTAGGACAGCGTCTTAAACGGACATGAGACTATAGCCTACGTGCGCACATCCAAAACCAACTTTGATTTATTTAGTTTTTCACACTGAATATATTGACATTGGCAAAATGACGTCTGTTATTGGCGTCAATTTTTGTATTGGTAAATTTTCGGATTATCGCCCAGCCCTATATGACCATGTAGTGACTTCCACTGTAGCGCCATGTTCTTTTTACTTCAGAGGCACCAGACGGATGTAGAGTTTAAATCCCCTTCTTTTCTTATGACCATTTTACCCAATGCTTCAACTTCTCATTGTTTTCCAGTGCTGGTGCTTGTGCATGAGGCTGAAAACAGCAGGAAACCTGCTGGTGTGATTTGCATGGTACTTTTATTCCACGTTGTATGAGTTTACTTCATATGAGCAGCCAAAGTGGGAAGAAAAAATTGAGGTTTTATTTCAACCTGTGAGAGGAACAGCTAATGTGATGTTAACCTATCATTTAGTATGCTTTTGGTGAGCATCTGTCCAAGTCCAGCTGTAAGCTTTTCAACCTGGAGACCAATCATCTCTTCATTAAAAGTGTGATACTGCTCAAGTGTCTCTGCAGGCAGCCGGCAGCGCTGAGGATTACAGCATCGACTCAGAGAAAGGTCAACATTATTTGATTTTCTCAAAGGTTACTGTTTATACGTATTTATCCAC